CAGGACACACAAATAAATACACACAAATAAAACTATTCCCCATATTTTCTCATATTTTCTGGGTTTCTGTCTTCCCCCCCACTTCCCATATGTTCCAATATTTTCTGGGAAATCGAAGATGAATTGTGTCTGTGTGTTTCTTTTCCTCCCGAATCCAGGAACCCCGCGCGGAGCTCGGAACGTTCATGCTTGCGCCAGTGTTCCTCTTCGGGATGAGGAAGGGGCTCGCCGACATGTCCACCTCGGTGCTCTCCACCGTCGGGGTGGCGATGACTCCGTGAGCCTCTCGGCGTCGGGGGCGGGGCTCGCGCGCGCTCCCCCCCCCTGGAATCCCCCAGAGATCTATACCCTGGGGCCGCTGGAGGGCTGCGGGAGGCCCCCGGAAGAGGCAAACGAAGCCAGGCACCTCGACCCTCGATCGTTCTCGATCCTCTCGTTCCACCTCCTCCCCCCTCCCCCTCCCCCTCCCCCTCCTCCTCCTCCCTCCTCCTCTCCTCCTCTCCTCCTTCCTCCTCCTCTCCTCCCCCTCCTCCTTCCTCCTCCTCCTCCTCCTCCTCCTCCTCCTCCTCCTCCTCCTCCTCCTCCTCGATCGTCCTCGATCCTCTCGCTCCTCCTCCTCCTCCTCCTCCTCCTCCTCCGCCGCATCCTCCTCCGCTTCAATCTTCACGGGAGGAGGGCAGGCCTTTCTCAAAGTGTGGTTCTCGCCTGAGCGCCGCACAACGGGTTTCGCGGACACAGGGTTGGCTTAGGTCGGGCCTCTCCCCCTACAGGGGGATTTGGGACCGAAAAATAAAAAAAAGTACACCAAAAAGACACACTTCAAACATACAAACAAATAGTAAAAAAATCGTCCCCTGAATACTTTTTACTATTTTTGAATATTCCCCCTGTAGAGGGACAGGCCCGACTCAAGGGTTGGCCGCTTTCAAAACGTGGCTCTCGCCGTACCGCCGCGCGCATTCGTCTTCAAGATTGGCAGAAGCTTCACCAGTGGAGGGCGGCTCCTTTTCAAAATGTGGCCTCGCCTCAGCGCCTCGCACATTTGTCCCAAGAGTTCGCAGTTGTGTAGTACTTTCTCATGGACATCCTCCCAGACATGGTGTTTTGGCAAGATGTCGCAATATCGAAACGCAGCAATCACCTGGATTCGCGGTGTTGAAATACCGGAAATGGCGTTCGGGCACGATTCTCGGACCGCTCAATCGAAGCAGTAACAGTGACTCGCGGCGTTGAAGTCCCAAGAATGGCGTTTTGGCGCAATTCTAAATGTTCAATTGGTTGTCTTCCAACGGGGCACTTCCCTCAGTGAAACTTTACCCTTTGTTGGGGCTTGAAGAGGGAACTTGAAGGGAGGGTTTCTTGTAGTATCGATGCTGAATATTGGGCTTACAATGGTCCTCATCCACCCCCCTCCTCATCCCGCTGCTCTCTACTAACCGGTCCTCCGTGCCCCCGCTCCTCCTCCTCCTCGCCATGCTGCTCCACATACCTCATCTTCCTTGTCCTTCCTTCTCCTTCCCTCCTCCTCCGCTTTTCCTCATCCTCGATCCAATTTGCGATCATCCTCCTCGACCTCCTTCGTTTCCTGTTCTTTTCGCTCGTCCTCGGCCCTCTTCGTTCTCCTGTTTCTCCTCATCCTTCTCCTCCTCGACCTGACCAATTCCTCGATCCTCGTCCCCCGTGTACCCAGCCATCTCCTCCTCCTCCTCCTCCTCCTCCTCCTCCTCTTCCTCCTCCTCATCATCCTCCTCCTCCTCCTCCTCCTCCTCATCATCATCATCATCATCACCACCACCACCACCACCACCACCACCACCACCACCACCACCACCACCACACCACCACACCCACCATCATCATCATCATCATCATCATCATCTTCATCATAATCATCATCTTCATCATCATCATCATCATCATCATCATCATTCATCATCATCATCATCATCAATCATCATCATCATCATCATATCATCATCATCATCATCATCATCATACATCATCATCATCATCATCATCATCATCATCATCATCATCATCATCATCATCATCATCATCAGCATCAGCATCATCAGCATCAGCATCATCATCATCAGCATCAGCATCAGCATCAGCATCAGCATCATCATCATCATCAGCATCAGCATCAGCATCAGCATCATCATCATCATCATCATCAACCTGGTCGATCCTCAATGCTTGTTGGTCCTTTTTCTCCTCCTCCTCTCGCCCATGTTCCTCCTCCACCTTCTGCCTTCGTCGACCCCATCACCCCATCTACACCCTCCTTCCATCCTCCTCCTTCTCCTCCTTCTCCTCCTCCCCTCCTCCTCCTCCTCCTCTCCTCCTCTCCTCCCTCCTCCTCCTCCTCCTCACTCCTCCTCCCTCCCCCCGCCTCCTCCTCCTCTTCTCCTCCTCCCCTCCTCCTCCTCCGCCTCCTCCGCCTCGTCCTCCTCCATCTCTATTCTCGACCCTCCTCCTCGAAATGTGGTTATCCTCCTCGCTGCTCGACCCTCCCACTTGGGACCTTGACGGACTCGTCCCCCAACGACCTGGCCATGCAGAGGCCCGGGTAGTCGTAGCCTCTCACGAAGATGCGGTGAACCGTCCAACCGTCCGGGTACGTCTGGGACCGCACCTCGCCGCCGGCTGGGGCCCCCTCTTCCCGCTGTTGTTCCACCTCCTGTACATCCTGGTGCGGCTGTCCCTTCTACTCCTCCTCCTCCTCCTCCTATCTTCCCTCCTCCCTCCGCCTCCTCCCCCCCCATCCTCCTCATCCTCCTCCTCCTCCTCCTCCTCCTCCTCCTCCCTCCTCCTCCTCCTCCTCCTCCTACCCCATCCTCCTCCTCCTCCTTTTTTTCCCTCGTGCCCTCCCGCTCCTGTTCCTCCTGCTCCTGGCCCTGTTCCTCACATCAATTTCTTCCTCCTCCAGCGCCTCCTCCTCCTCCTCCTCCTCTTATTCCTCCTCCTCCTCCCCCTCCTCCAGTTCCTCCTCCTCCTCCTCCTCCTCCTCTTATTCCTCCTCCTCCCCCTCCTCCTCCTCCTCCTCTTCCTCATCCCTCCCAGTTCTTTGGTTCTGATTACAGGCGTTCCGCCACTCACCGTGGACTTCAACGCAACGCAACACGGCTGATGCAGGGCGGCTGGTTTCACTGCGACGCTTGGACCACTGCGGATCAGATCCGTCCCGACGCTTCACTTCCACGTCATCCTCCTCCGCCTGCTGTTTCCGCCGTCTCCTCCAAGCTCCCATCTTGTTCCTCGTTCCTCTCTCGCTCAAACACTTTTGTTGCCCTCATCCTCTCCGCTATTTTCTCCCGCGTACTTGTCTTTCATCCCCTCTTCCCTCCGTTATCTTCCGTTCCTCCTCTTGCACCTCCGCGTCATCCTGCCTCCCCCCCCTCACCCATCCCTTCCCCCCTCCCTTTCCTCCCCCACAATTTTTTAAACATGAGTACTATTCTCGTCTCTCCCCTGAGTCTGTGCGGGGGATGGCCAACACCACCCAGCGTATTGAATGTTACACACAAGGTTGCCGGGAGCTTGGTTGGCATATGATTTGTGTCAATCCGATCATTTGGGTCCTTCAAAGTGTTGTTCCCGATGCAGCACTAGCCACGCCCCCCTCCCCTCCCACACTTTTGGGCGGCGCCGGTTTGAGGAAATATCCGGCGAGGGCCCCGTTTCTGCACACGCACACACACAATCCACCGTGCGTTTCTACGCCATGCTATGCCGTGCTCTACCACCCATGGTTCATTGCGGACCCTCTCGGGATTAATGCCTTGCTCTGACTTCGGCTGTGCGAAAAAAAGGTATCTTACTGACCCAGGGTTTTTTTCCTGCGGGGAACTGTTCTCTCTACTAGGTTCGCTGGTCGAAGCGACTCGAATCCAAGGCAAGAGAGGCGGGTGACACGGCACGCCTCTCGAAAACCACACCCGGGCAACACGTGTGAGAAGTGGGAAAAGGGAGGGAGAGCCACAGGGCTCAGAGGGAGGGGAGCCAGGATGACTTCGGAGCAACGTCAATGAATATCAATGAGGATCGATGAGACCGACACCCGCTAAATCATTTATGTGCACGCGCTCCCATGACTTACCCTTGGTACTTCTGCGGGGAATGGTTCTCTCTACTAGGCTCGCTGGCCGAAGCGGCTCGAATCCGATGCAAGAGAGGCGGGTGAACCGGCACGCCTCTCGAAAACCACACCCCAGTCAGGTTCACAGAACAAAAGCTGTTTTCACACCGTAAGGTATTGCGCCCGTCAGGCGCTTAAAACATTGAAAACAACGGCACGATGGAAACACGCGGGAATAATTTCTGATAGGCGCGGCCGGGGGACGTGTTTCTTATGGCCGTCTCGGGCCCGAACCCCTGGGCATCGCAGGCCCAAACTGTTGAAACCGGAAGGCGGAACCTTACCAACAAAAGTCGCAAAGGAGAGCCGAATAATTACCTGATGCCTACACATGTGGGACTGGAACGCGGGGACGATGCAAGCGGGAAGCCCGGCAGCAATCCGCTCACTTACTGACTGGAAACAACTGATTGCCATCGGGGGACCGATTCGTGCTGCCTCTGGCACAAGTCTTAGCCCTCAGGACAGTGACGAGTCATTCACGGAGACGAGTAAGGCGCCCATGCTACCCGTTCTCATGTCTGCACGCAGTCGAAATGACAGGATGCTCGGGGCATCCGTATCCTTCACGTATCTGACAAGAAACCCCGAAGCACACACATGAGGAGGTGCTGCGAACCGATCTCCTACGACCAGAACAAACAGCCGCCTTTCGCCTGTCGGTAATGCAAAGCGGGCTTTGGCAGCACTCGGCCGTGCACGACAATCTCCACGAATTTCTCCTCGCACAACTCGGCGTGTTGGCGCAGCCGCGTCGGATGGGCCATCCATGTCGAGCTGAGCCGAGCGCCCTTCTCGCACTTTGCCACCGAACTGTCCGACTTCCAGCCCCCCCCCCACCCCACCCCCGCTGTTTGACCTCCGCGAGCGTTCTGCGTCGCGCGGCCATGTCCGAGCTGGCTCCACTGGGCCTGGCCTGATACACCACTAGGTTGAATCCCAGGTCGCGAGCAGCTTCCTGCACAGCCGCCGCCAGCTGCGGGCAACTGAAGGCCAAGACCCGCTCACCAGGCGGGCGAGATCGCAGAGCGTGCAGCACGGGGGCATGGCTGATCCACCAATCGTGGTCGAGCTCGATCGTGACATCGTACTACTTCGCCTTGGGCGGCACGCCCTCGATCTCTGGATCCAGCTGCAACGTCCAGTGCGTGGCCGCGCGACCCGGAGGGAGGGAAAAAAAGGAACTCTGTCTCCAGTGCCATCCACTCACTGGATCGGGCGTGCACGTGCTCCACATGAGGCAGATGAGAAGCGCCATGCCGTACCTCTGCACGCTGCGCACCCCGTTGGCGATGGCGCGCCAATTCGGCCACGCCTCGGGGAGACGGGATGTGGATGGGCTCATGTTCTGCCACCCTTTCAATGCCCTCCAGCTGCGCTGCAGTGTGCGAGGGCCCTGCTTCCCCGCCGCCGGCCGAGCGTGAACAACCCCAGCCGGCAACTTCATGCACCGAGCAGCGGTCGCTCCCCTCCTGATCTGGTGGTCGACGTACTGCGCCATTTGACTGTCCAGCTCCTCGGTCGGGATGTCGGTTACCCGCTTCACGCCGCTGCACTGGCTGAGCTGGTGCACCTCCTGGGCGCGCTGGGCCTCGGTCCGAGGCTTGGCGGCAGCGTGCGCGCCCAGTGTGAGATGGTCTAGCTCGGGCAACGCCTCGGCCGCTAGCAGCTTATCCAAGGCGCCTCGTCTGGCACGCGGGAGCGTCCGAAGCCTCGAAGCACGGGTGGTCTCCTCCTCGTCGCTGTTCGAGCATGAAGCGTCCTGGAAGCGTGGATCCGCCCTGATACGCCCCCCCAACTGCTGCAGGATCAGCCTCACCTCGCCGTTCGAGGAGGCCTGGCTGGCGAGCGCTGCGGGTTAGCGCCGCGACTCCGTGCTCGCCTTCGGCCGTCAGAGCTCGGGAAGTGCGCGGCAGTGACGCGGATGGCGCCCCCGGAGACTTCAGTCGACGCTTCCTGCGCGGGGCCGCAGCCGGTGGATCCCCGAGCAGCGACGAGGCTAAGACCCGAACTCTGGCGTTCGATGCAGAGGGGTTCGGCTGCGTGAAATCTGGCTGGAGCCGAAACGTCCACGGAGCCCAAGCGAGCCCCGACGAGCCCCAGGGCCTTGCTTTTGCCCCGGGCATCCAGGGCGAGATCAGAGCCGAGTGCGCCGAGACAGCCCCATAGACAATCACTCGGATTCACGAGCCTAGATGGCAAGATTCCTCTCCGAAGGAATCCATCGCACAGAGAGATGCACGTCGCGACTGAGACACCGCGCCGCCATCCTGCGTAAGACGACCAGAATTTTAAAGCTCCGACGCCTCCACCGGCTCACGGCCAGCACGAGACCCAGATTGTCCGCCAGAAGAAGCTAGCGAGCTTCGCGGCCAAACCTGGTGCGACTCACCCTCTCCAGCCCGCGCAGCGGGCCGCGGGCCTTTAGGGCCATGATGTTCCCAGGCCGGCGTTGAAATTCCAGCCGCCGACCACGCCCAATCCTGCGGATTCGGCCATGTAGCTCGGCACCTCCGCGCAACGCGGGTCGGGCTGGAGATCTGATCGGCCCAAACAGCCGTCCACCAGCAGAGGCTCCCCGCAGGCCATGTCAGCGCCCAGCGCGGCGGCACGGGTGCCCACGTGGCCCTCCGCAAGGTAGCGGTCGCGCTCGCGGCAGCGGCCTACCGCGGCGACCGTTGCAGGGTCGAACCAGCGCGAACAAATTCCGTAGCCCGTCTCCGAGGCGTCCGTCGCCACGACCAGTGGGTTCCAATCGGACTCCCAGCTGGACACAAGCAGCACCATCAAGCCCGCGAAAGCCCTCAACTCGTCGGCAACCGATGGCCAAAAAGGGGCAGGTCGGTCGTAGTGCCGCCGGATGAACGGGCAGACAGTCGCGAACACAGTCAACGTCTCACGTCCGACGAGGCCGCAACAAGTGGCGTGGCCCAAGACAACCTCCAGCTGCCGTCCAGAAGCGCGACGGCGATCCGCCAACGCCATGCGCCGCCTTCTTCCAACTCTTGAACCTATCCCTGACCTCCTCGTAGTCGACCCACGGGGTGCGGACGTCATCGTCTTCGGGAGGAGGAGGCTCATCAGGGCGACGCGCAGCCACCGCTGAGGGGCCCGCAGCATCACGTGACGCCGCGTAGCGCGATTTCAAGGTCTTGGCGAACTCCACGCAGCCACACCTGCACCTGCACCTGCACCTGCAAGAAACTCACATGCCTTAGCGCCAGGCCGCTTGTTGACGTGATGATGACGTCGCCGGCGCGAGGGGTCACCTCCATGCCAACCGTCTCGTGCCCATCGGCACTCTCGGTCACCAGCCACACCAGGCCATCGCGAGGCGCGGGGCGCTCGGGCAGGACGGCCAGGTAGGGCGCCGCAGCCCCAGGCGCGGCCGCCCCGCCAGCGCCCTCGGCCGCCTCCAGGTCGACGGGCAGCGGAGTGTCGGGGATCGCGGTGCCCCCAACTAGAGCAAGCCCCGCGGCAGCCACAGCCTCGCCTTCTGCAGGCCCGCCGCGCCGACGTCGGCGGCCGACCCCGCCCAGAGGCTCCATGGCACCGTCCGCGTTGACGAAATACGGCAGGTCGGGGATCTCCTGTCCCGCAGATCGCATCCGTGCCACGGCCTGCTGGGCCTCGAGGCGGACACGGTCGTCAATGGGATAGGCGTCGCCCGCGAATCTGTGGAACCTGCCCCGAAGCGCTCGGGGGCAAGAGCCGGCCATATCGAGTATCACCTAGCGCTCGCGTTCGCCAGCCTCCATGGAGATGTCTTCCTCGTAGAAGTCCCCATCTGGTGTCACGATCCACCAGTTGGTAACTTCCCCCGCGGCATCTCGATGTCCAGGTCCTATCAGGATCCTCTCGTGCCAAAGGTCCTCGCCAGGGTATCTGATGGCCACGGGCCTACCAAGGGTCAAGTTACTCGACAACTCCCGCACCAAAAGCGGCCTTCCTGTGTCCGACGGGCGGGCACCGTCGCCATGGCGACGAGCGCACACCAATTGCCACCCTCCATAGATCACAAGAATACAAACCTGACCCGCACAGATGGCGCCCGTCGTCAGCAACACTAAGTGCAAGTCGTGATCGGACGTGCTGCAGGTCAGCTCACACACGCAGGAGACCGCGCGAACTCGTCGCACGATGTCCTCCACAGCCTCGGCGGTCAGGCTCGCGCCGTCGCAGCTGACCTCGACCGCCGCTGGCGCGGGGGGGGGGGGGGGGTACCCACACCGCAGGTCTCCCCGTGGCCACGGACGCGTTGCGGTATCAATCGCGGTCGGCGGCGTCTCGCAGGATGAAAGTCAAAGTGGCAAGAAGGACCCCGATCACCGACTGCACTCGGTGCCAGAAACCCTCGAGCCAGGATGACTTCGGAGCAACGTCAATGAGGATCGATGATGCCGACACCCCACACCCCGCTAAGCCATCTATGCGCACGCGCTCCCGTGCCATGGTAAGGGATGGGAGGGAGGGGCATGACTCAAGCTAGGTGCGCTCGCGTCAAATCTGACATCCGACCCGTCCCTCCCATCCCTTACCATGGCGTAGATCCCCTCTCTACTCGCAGTCGGATGTTGAGCAGGGCAATGATTCCGAAAGGGTACGCGATGCATTGTAGAGCACGGCGTGGCATGGCGTAGAAGAGCACCGCAAAGCGTAGTATGTCACAGCATGGCTCGGCGTGGCGTAGTGAAGAATTGCAGCACAAAGTTTTGCAACGCAAAGCATGGCATCGCACAGCGGCCCCGAACATAACATTGCATAGCATGGCATTGAGGATCAACGCGTAGCACGGCATAGCATGACGTGGCACTTACGCGCTGGATATGATAGCTGCAGCAGAAGGCATGGCATCGCGCAGCGGAACGCAACCTAGCATTGCATTGCATGCCGTGGCAGCCTGGCATGGCACGGGAAATGACGCCAACGCTGCAACGGGAGCACGATTCGGAACGAGCGGAAGCGCGGAAATGAGGCCAACGCTGATGCGGGAACACAATTCGGAACGAGCGGAAGCACGGAAATGAGGCCAACGCTGCAGCGGGAGCACGATTCGGAACGAGCGGAAGCCCGAAAATGAAGCCCGCGCCTCAGCGAGAGCATCATTTTGAACAAAAACGAGCGACAACCCAACTCCGGGACATCCTGTGTAGAAAAAACAATACGCGGAAGGGTGCCTGCTATCTTCCGTACGCTCTCGGGGGATGGAGGAGAGTAGTATTCAGATTGTGCAATTGTTTAGATCATCCGAGTGGGTCCCCATCACAATCACCGAGGGGGATCCCCGGGCATGGCGGTTATGGCCCCGGGTCCCGAAACACGGAAGACGCCACCTACCAGACACAAGCGCTTGGAGGACTGGCCCCATGGATTTCCGCCTCAGTGCGAAAACTATAACTAGCAAATGAACTGTGCAATGAAAATGCAAACAGGGGCGGCCCGGCAGGGACGACAGGGGAAGGGAGGAATAAGAAAAGGGGGCGTCGGGCGGGGGCGGTCGTAGAGGTCGTCCTGGTGGTCGTGGAAGGCCGCGTGGCAGTGATAGTCGTGGTACCCGGATAGGTTGTGGTTGCCGCCGGTGCGCACTTGTGGTGGTTGCCGTTGTGCTGTCGCGGAACAGGTGGTGTTTGTAAAGACCGCGAAAGTGCCGTGGTCCGAGGGGTGGTGCTGAGCGGTGTTGGAAACAGGTGCCTGGCATAGGCCCAGTGGTGTGAGCCACCGGACCCCTGTTTTAGGTGTCGGGGAAGGACGCGTCACCGCCTTAGGCGGCGCTCGAAAGCGTGCATGATACCTCCTCCTCCTCCTCCTCCTCCATTTCCTCCTCCTCCTCCTCCTCCTCCTCGTCCAGCTCCTCCTCCTCCTCCTCCTCCTCCTTCCCTCTCCTGCCTCCTCCTCCTCATCTCCTCCTCCTTCTTCTTCCCTCCTCCTCCTCCTCCTCCTCCTCTCCCTCCCTCCTCCTCCTCTCCCACGCGCCCGCCCTCGAGCCATCCTGAGTGGTCGCCTACGCAACAGAGCTGTCCGCAGCGCGCGCATTTCGCCTCGGGGACGCCCGCCCCCTGTCCTCTTTGCTACTCTTTGATGACCACCGCTCGCCGTGCGCGCCCGCCGCCGTGCCAGAGCCTACAGCCAGGTCGGGCATGTCCCCCTGCAGGCGGATCTGGTGCGAAACTCCCATCCAACAGCACTCACATCGAATCAAAACGTATGAGACATCGCCCCCCAAAATAGAGGAAAAAGAACTATGCACATGCACCGATTCTGGCCAGGCCCATCCTGAGCCCAGGATCGGTGCATACGCCCTCCTACCTTGGCCAGGAAGGCATATGCACCGATCCTGGGTCAAGGATCGGCCTTGCCAGGATCGGTGCATGTGCATAGTTCTCGTCGCCCGACAAAAACAATTCTTTCACCCTCTTGGCGTCTGCCTCCTGTGGAGGGACACGCCCGACTGGAGCGTACACAGCCAGCGACACGCGGCCCCGCTGGACCGGCCGCCCGTCCAGGGCCCTTGCCGACGCCCCTCTCGGGCCCACGGGCCGCAGCCCCTGCCTCGGGTCGGGCGAGCGGGGGGGATAGGAAAGGGGGGGGGGGGAGAATCAGCTCACGCAGCTGATTCCCCCGGCGCCTCCTGGCGCCATGCATCGAGGCATGGGCCCCTCGGCGGGGCCGCAACCAGCTGGCGTGCAGCAGATGTCGTGACACCCCCTCGCCCAATCCCCCCCCCCTTCCCCCGGCCCGACTGGCCCGGGCCCGCGGGATACGCAACAGGCTCCCGATGGCCGCGCCTGGCTGCCTCCGCGCGGGCGCGCGCGGGCAGGGCGACGAAAGGGGCGCCCCCCGCGGGCCGGAGGGGCGCGCGGCGGCGCGCCGCGGAGACCCGTGCCACGGGGCGCCGCCGCGAGCCGAGACGAGGCGACCCGGAGCGCCCGCGCGCGGGGCGCGGGGAGTCCCCGGGGCAGCGGCACAACAGGTCGCCCGACCTCCGCCTCCACTCACTCACTCACTCACTCACTCACTCATGCCATACGCCGGAGCGCGTGGGCGAAAGAAGACAAGGCCAGCCGATTCTCACCGCTTTGCGGGAGCGGCGGCACTGCGGCGGTCGCAGAAAGGCAGCTCGTACCAATCTGGATTTTCAGCTCGTATCAATCTGGATTTTCCAGCGGACCAGAAAAGGGGGGGAGGAGGGGGGGGAGAGGAGGAGACAGACAAACCAGCGGTCACCGGCGGACCTGCCCCTCTTGCTGCTGCCGCTCCTCCCCCCTCATCCCTCAAAGCGCAGCTTCTCTTCAGCGCGCCCCCTGCTCCTCCTTCAGCTGATTTGCCTCCTCCTGATACTCCTCCACCTCCTTCCCCTCACCTTTTTCACTCGTCCCCTCCTGCTCCTCCTCCTCCTGCTCCTCCTCCCCCTCCTCCTCGTCATCGTCCTCCGACTGATTTCTCGGCACCTCTGGAGGCTGCTGCAGACCTCGAGCGTCTTGACCACGGGGCGAGAGGAGAGGCGAGATGGGAGGGGGGCAGGAAGAAGAGGCAGGGAGGAGGGGAGGGAGATCTGAACATGGAACATGGAGAGGGAAAGAAGCGCCAGATGGGATGCGACTCGAGAAGGATGAGGGAGGGGGAGGGTCGGATGGGCAGGAGGAGAAGGGAGGGGACAAGGAGGGAGCGGATGTTTGGAAAAAAACAGGATCGGAGGAAAGGGAGGGTGGGATGAGGGGCAGGGAGAGGAAAGAGAAGGGATGGGAATGGAGCGGAGTGGGGGAGGGGAAGAGGGAGAGTGATCGGAAGAAAATGGGGAAGGGAATGGAGGGGAATTAAATCTGTGGGGCACTGACGCGAGGGACAATGGGAGTCTCAGAAGGTGAACGTCTCTTGACTCGGCGTTTCGGCATTGGGCGAAAAGGGGGGGAGGGGGGGGGTCTGGCTGCGGACCTCTGCTCGGTGCGACTGTTTGCAGCAGTGCGGCCGATGGGGGAGGGACCCCACCTGCTGGAAACAGGCGCCAAAAGCAGCCAAGATCTACTCCATGGGGGGGGGGGAGGGGGGGGGGCGAGGGCCAGCGCCGATCGGCAGAGCAATGAATAAAAAAAACGCCCACAAGCCATGGACAATCCGACGTGCTTAAACACTGCGGATGTCGCGAGCATCTGCTGCATGGCTTATCCTCCATCGCTCAAATCTCCATCCCCGTCCTTTGTCCTCCCTCGTCCTATGCGCCCTGATCCTCCTGTCCTCCAGTTCCCTCCATCCCTCCTCCTTGCCACCTTTCTTCAACATTATCCTGCTTCCTTCTCTCCTCCACCTCCCTCACTCACACACTCACTTCCGCCATCTATCCCTCTGCCTCGGACCACACTCTCATCATCCAACCCCTGCCTCCATTACTCCCACACTCTTGCCCGTCGCTATAGCTCATCCTTCGCCCCCTTCCTCGTCCTCCTCCTCCCCCTTCCGAAATTATCCTCCTCCAGGGAAGCGGAAGAAGGGGAGGACGAGACGAGTGGGGAGAAGGGCGCGACGGGGGAAAAAAGGGGAATCAGGTCCAGCCCTCTTCGCGCGTCATCACCCTCGCCCTACATACAATCGACCTCGGGTGGAGAGGACACGAGACCCTTCCGAGGGCCACACTGCCACAGTAATGCCGAGGACATGACGCGCAACAACAAGGCACAATGGCGCCCTTGATGGGGAACAGAGGCGACCTACTAAACGAGCTCCACTGCGTGGTCCTTCCCTGAATCCCGCCAACCAGCCTGCTTTTTAACTTTGGGCAAACTCGAGCGTCAAGGCTGCAGCGTTGGTGTAAAGAACAGTGAGTGTCGGCAGAGGCCTGCAGGGCAACACCATACGCCTGGCGGCCGTAGCAAAAATAACAATAGTCGCAACAAACACAAAGAAAACGGCAGCGGGTCCGGAAAGGCACAGAGTATACGCCAGCCGTGCCGTGTGAGGGAGAGGGAGAGAAGGACGTGATCGAACGCGTGTACATACAAGGAGAAGCCGAACACGAAGGATCGAACTACATGTGCATAGTACGCTAAGGCGGTACCAGCAACTGGCCTGCCACAAATTCGTGACAAATCCCAATGGGCACAACCTCACGAATATCCGTCAGTCGGAAGAATCAGTGGGTAGACATTTGAAGTAGGAAGGCGTTGGAAGTTTACTGGTCCTCCGCCTGTCCCCT